CTGAGAACTGAGAAGTGCATGTGTGGTTACGTGATTGGAAATGCCATGCAGCAAAAGCCCAGAGCAGCAGCCCTCGGGTGCCCAGCTTCTGGGTCCCTTATAACCCAGCCAGCTATGCCAGGACTGCAGCAGCCATCCTCCCCTGCTCCCTGCCCAGAAATTTGTTTTCAAATTGAGTTACTTAAAAATTTAGTCAATTACATGTTAAAGGCATTTCGACTCCTTTGATAAGTACCAGTCAAGGTGGTTAGCAAAAAACTGGCAGGTTGCATTTTGATCACCTACACACCAGTTCGGGTGAAATATTTAATATAAAATTATCATTTACATAATAGCTTTATGTGGAAGTCATTTAGCCCTATGCAATTTGGTCTTCAAATGTCTTACAAAGAAGTGAGCCAGCCTGCATATCTGCACTCCCAGCTGCTTGGGAAGCTGAGGTAGGAGGATCACAAGTTCGGGCCAGTCTGTTCTACATAGTAAGATGCTGTCTCAAAAAGATTTTTAAAAAAACGTATCACAGAGCCCTGAGTAAAAAATAAGGACTCATTAAGTTAGTTCTGATGTATGTAAAGCTTTTAAGTTCAGCTGAGGCTTCAGGTGCTACTTTAGCGGAAGAGTAATTAAAAAAAATTTTTTTAGATCCTTTCAATGTCACTTCTGTTTTGTTTTGAAATCCTTCTGAAATGCATTGGTTTTCTTTCCTGAGTTAGGGAATCTGTATTGGATATTTGGGAATATTACAGAGCCCAAGTCTCATTATAAATATGCATTTTTTTTTTCCTACAGCATTATAGAACCAGTGAGTCAGAAAATCAAGCAGCAGCATGGGGCACCACTCCTTGGTAGAGTGCTTGCCTAGATGTATAAGGCCTGTGTTTGATCCCTGCACTGAGAAAGAATATTTAGCAGAATCTACCGTTCCTCCCCGCTTGACTTCCTGATTCAAATTTGTTTTTCTTTTTGGCCTGCTCAGCCCTGCCCTGAGGGCAGGGCTGGTACAGCATGTAGTGCTGAGGATCCAACCCCAGTCCCCTGTGCCTCCCTAAGCCTGCCTAAGCAGGTGCTTTAGACTGCTGAGCTATCTCACCAGCCCTCAAATTTGTTTTCCTATGTGGTCTTTCTCTTCATTCTAGACAGTAACAAGTCTAAGTGAATGACAGCACCCAAATGTTAAAATTCTGGACTATCGGGGTGTAAACCTCTAGTGGATTTCAACAGAGCAGGATTATTGTTTTTTTCTTTTCTTTTCTTTTCTTTTTTTTTTTGACATCAGTTATTTTTATTTTAAAGAAAAAAAAATAAAAACAATGGTACAAAATCTCAAAACAA